TACGCGCAAACATTTTACGCAAGTTCGATCTCTCCTTTCTTCCCTTTCCTCTCTATTCCTTTCACAGCCGCTCGCGGCCTTTCTTCGCGTCCTCTCTTTAAATACATTGACATACCACGCGCCGATCGGCCAGTTGCGTTTTACCAGATACGTGCAGACACAAGAAATTTAGTATGCAATAGTATTCCTGGCGACGTAGGGCCATTTCTTCTTACGATAGATTTTTTTTTTTTAAATTTTGTAATGTATTAGTATATTTATATAATGTATTAGTATATTTTATATTTCATATACTAATGAAAGTATAGTATCATCATTTATTTCCTTTTACATTAGTAGGCTTTTGATCTTGAGTATAATTATATTATATTGATCTAGTATAGTATAATTATTCTAATTATATTGATCTAGTACAGTATAATTATTCTAATTTCTCATTTACTAATTTCTATACTATCTCTACTGTAATATATTACAATATGTAGTAATATATTACGCAATATAGTATTTATGATAGGTTTATACTATCTCTACTGTAATATATTACAATATGTAGTAATATATTACGCAATATAGTATTTATGATAGGTTTATGATAGGATTCTGTGTAGGTTTTTAGTCTTTATAGTATTCTAATTTATTTTATACTGTTTACAATACTTATACTATAATATGTATTACAATTATACACTATAATATGTATGACAATTTATACTATAATATGTGTCATTATAATATAATTTTATAGTATAATTTCCCATTTTTTATATTATCTTTACTATAATATTTATATTAGTAAAAAACTAAATTTATATTATAGTATATAATATTTATATTAGTAATAAAAGTATTACGATCTATTTCCTTTTATATTATCAGGCTTTTGATTTAGTATAATTATTTTAATTTTTCATTTACTAATTTTTATACTATCTCTACTGTAATATATTACATACTACACTTTATACTAGTCTTTATAGTACTCTAATTTATTTTATACTGTCCTAGTCTACAATACTAGACAATTTATACTTATAATATACATCATTATAATATAATTTTATAGTATAATTTCTCATTTTTTATATCATTTTTACTGTAATATTTATATTGGTAAAAAAGTATAGTATATAATATTTATATTAGTAATAAAAGTATAATATTATGATCTATTTTCTTATTATATTAATAGGCTTTTGATTTAGTACAATTATTCCAATTTCTCATGTATATTAATTTTTATACTATTTCTACTGTAATATATTATCTCTACTATATCTCTACCTCTACTGTAATATATTACTATATTACTATATATGACACAATATACTGTAATATATTACTATATATGGTGCAATATAGTATTATGGTCTATTTGTGTTTATTATAGGTATCATGTGTCTAGGTTTCTAGTCTTTATAGTATTCTAATTTATTTTATACTCTTCTAGTCTACAATACTACACAGTTTTATACCATAATGTGTACCATTATAATATAATTTTATAGTGTAATTTTTCATTTTTTATATCATTTTTACTATAATATTTATATTAGTATATATTACACAATATGGTATTATGATCTATTTCTCTTTATGACAGGTTCTTAGTCTTTATAACATTCTAATTTCATACCTCTCTACTATAATACATATCATTATAATATAATTATTCTAATTTCTCATTTCTTGTGCTTATTGCTTATTAAAAGAAAGTGTTTTAGCAATTTAAGAAAATTTTCTGGTTTTTACAATTGAAGCATATCTCTGTAGGTAAATCAAAGATATACATGATAAGTCTATTTATTTTTATGGTAGATTTTAATTTTTATGTTATATGCCAATTTCTATATTATTTACTGCTGGTGAACGAAAAGGAGTATTTCAATTTTTTGATTGTCATCACTCAAATTATACTATAGTTCAGGCAAATTGATCAATATCTATCTTTGTTGAAACGATTTCGAATGCTACATTAAACATAGACATTGACAAAGCCCTTTATGAAATTAAAGAAATTTATAAATGGTGGAATTGATCAATTTGGCTTTCGAGAGCTATCATATTTATTGTATATAAATCACATGAATATTATGTATAACGTAGTAATAAACATTTTATATTAATAAAAAGATAAAATAAAGTAAATCATGCGAAACGTAAATTGCAAAGCAATATTAAATGTTTGTACTGGACTCACCGTGTAGAGCACTGGCTGATGAATTAGCGTTAATTTCTGCTCATATCTTCGCGGCACAGGCTTTCATTCGCGTCCAATAGAAATAGATTAATGAACTCTCGAAACCGGATTTCCTCCTTACAGTCGAGAGATAACATCGGATTAAACCTCGGTCGATCGATTTCCATTTCTCCTTCACGTCAACGCTCGCGACTCGCTCGTTTCGATTCCCCTCCCCTCCCCCCCCACCCCTATCCCCCGAGATCGAAGTTGGCTGCCGGCATTTATTATAAATTAATCCCGGGTGAAACTCTACGATTACAAATTTACTGTGCAGTTGCCCGTAATAGTTTAATGTTACGTACTATTCGTTGCAAAACGATCGCGAGAAGACAGATGAGACTCGTGAGACGCGTGATCATCAACTGTCTTGTAGAATATGGCACACAGGTGACGCGAACACGAGTTTTCGTTTATCAATTTCCCCGTAGCGGTCGTTAGTGTTATTATTTTATTCGCGCTACGTTCAATTACGATTCTTGCCTATCGTCGACGAGATTTAAGTATTTATATATACGTACGTTCATATAACGACATTGGTACATAAATATTAGAACACTTGGAGGAGAATGAATTTCATCAAATTATTACAATTTTCCTTTATGAAATTTTGAATCATGTCACAATGAAATTACGACCTAGATTATGTGATATAATTATGTACAATAAAATTAAATGTCACACGTTCCTCGTCATCTACTAAAATGGACGATGAAACTAGAAGAATTAAAACAATTGTAATTGTCAACAAATAATTGTTATAAATTGCAAGTTATCATTTATCAATACAAACTGCTAATGATTTTTTTAAATTGTTTAGTTTGTTCATTAGCAACATGGACCAATCGAAGCATTCTTATTGGTGTGAAATACGAATAAGTATCTTAACACTAAACGTACCAAGCAAATGACCCCTTTTGAAAATTTACTTTAAATAAAAATATATGTTTGAGTAT